CTTCTTTTTCTTCTTCTTCTTCTTCTTCTTCTTCTTTTTCTTCTTCTTCTTCTCCTAGAACAAATCCCTACAGACAATGGGATAAAGCTAGTTATTAGGTCGCTAACCAAAGATGAATCACCCTCCTCCAGTTTCTTCACATGTGACAAAATACACGGCGAGGTCGTTGACGCAACAAACGATTACAGCTGCAAAATAACCACAACATTTCCTCCCGCATTAAATATTACATCAAACAAGCGATCAGAACAATGATATCCAAGGGAATATTTACTCACAATGCTTTACCCTCTTTGAAGCAGGAGGAAAGCAAACGATGACAAACACACACATACATGCAAATCTCTTGAATCAAGGCTAATGGAAGCCTTCCACAAGGAAGCTCGGAGACGTTCGTGTGATGGCTCCGCCAAGGATGTCTGTCGTAACCCTCAATTGTCTGCGATGAATGTCGGCACAAAGTCCCAGGAGGACAGAGCTATGCTTTTGAAACTCTTACGCTGACATTTCGAAAACTCGTTCAATGTATCAACCGAGACAAGATAAACGTATGTATTTTTTTCCTCCTCATTCTTTTTCTTTCTGTGGTTTGGCTTTATTAATCATATTTGTCTATCTGTCAGGCTTTATATTATTACATTCTCTTTGTATGTCACCAAGCCTGTGTCTTTTATCTTGTATACGTATCAGTGACTATGCCACACGGTTAAGAGAAAAAGCTCACCGTTTCTATCGATCTGTCTTCTGTTTGTCTCTCTGTCTGTCTGTCTGTTTGTCTACCTTTCTGTCTATCGGTATGTTTATCTATCTATTTACCTATCGGACTATCACACAAATCCAGAGGTCTTTGTCTACCAATATAAAGAAGGACATGAAAAACTGCATTTCTGTCTTCGCCATAAACTAATTAAATTTTAATTCCACATGAATTATACTATCCTACACCGTGCACTCTGACGTGTTTCCAGTTTCCTCGTGCAGCTCACCATTTGACTCTATTTGAGCTAAAAGGAGGGCAAAGAGGGAAAGGTGTTGCATGCTCTAAGTCGAAACTGGTGTTATACTCTACATTTAGGCGTAACAGCGCAGCCCATGCCGCGCACAAATTTTTTTTAATAGAACAAAAAGCGGCGGCCATGAAAGTGCATGATCTGGGAGTACACGTCTATGGTCTTAACTGGCGAATAGAGCTTGTAGTGGTGAAAATATGAACACATATAGAAACATTCCCTCTTTGCCCTTCTTTATAGCGAGGTGCCAACCTTTTACAGCTGATGAGCTATACTATGACTGTTTACGTGGAACCTTTCACGACAACCGACAGAGACAATGGAAACATGTGGGTGAAACACGACAACATATGGACGCCCATCAACCACGGCGTTCTGCCTTGACAAGACAAGAATAACAAACTCAGCACAGAACAGGAATTGTTGAGTATTCCATTACATAAAAGAATGATAAACTTCTTTGGTGGATGCTTGGCCAGTGCTCTGGTGTGGTTTAATTTAGATTTGATTAGATGTAATGCGGCGACTTGTGTAGTTGCTTGCTCCCTACTTTACAGATCCTCACACCATCCTCGAGACAAATTGACGCACCAGCAAAGAAACGGGGAAAAACAACAGCGAGTTCACACCAAACCCAAATACCTTACATCGGTAGCATGGACATTTATCAAAGGTGGATATAAACTCCGTGGTGTGGGAAGCTGCTTTCTAGAAAGGAGAAAGCATGAGGACGAGGTAACCTGGTATACGACAGACGCTAATCCTGGCTGAGAAAATCCTGGTACAATGTATAAATCTCAGACTGCCATGAGATTACTGAGCAAAATATCACCGGGGCATACGCTGTTAATACATTGTTTACTGTCAGCTCAAGGATGTGCGTGCGTGCGTGTGTGTGTGTGTGTGTG